TTTTTTTTTTTTTTTTTTTTTTTTTTTTTTTTTTTTTTTTTTTTTTTTTTTTTCTTTCACGTAATAATTTTCCTTACAGTGATGTCAAAATGCAAAAAAAGTACGTATGGTGAAAATGAAAATTCAATCCATCGCGTAAGTAAGGTGTATGCGTTCACGCGAAATGAATCGTACGCGCGGATGGTTTTGTATTTTTATCAACAGTTAAGGTGCGTCAGATGATAAGCTGTATATTTGCACAGAGATAAATTTAGAATACATTCACGCCTTTACAATGGAATTTTGAGGAAACGCACAATCGAAAGACTCGCCTTAGTATTTATATAATTGCTGTTTTTTTTTTTTTTTTTTTTTTCTCACCGACTTATTGACAAAATAAAAAAGATAAAGGCATGACAAACCGAGTCTATATTCCCAATGATGTACTCAAATTTTTTTGTAACACGTCTGATGAAAGGTTTAACGTCATTTTCAAACCTACACTTACTAACGTACTTAAAATATAAAATTAATACGTGATTTGTAATTTAAATTAAAAAAATTACATATGTTTAATTTTGAACTCCAAATTCAACTGTTCATTAAAATAATGCAAATAAAAGAACTAGTTACACGAGCGCTTAAAGTAAGTATATCTGCAGAAACGAGTTGGAAATTTTTCAAATAAAATTCACACCTCAATTATTTTTACGTATATGATTACGTACACCGATCGATCAAATCCATGAAATTTTTTTGCAAAAACCACGCGTACGTTGAGTAATTGTAAATAATAATAACGAGTCACTAATCGTAAGTCACACACTTCCACACACACGCTGACAAAAATACGTACCTGACATATTGGCAGCTTTGTGTGGCGCAAAGACTCGAATAGCAAACGCAACTGTATGGGCTCTCAAACTGATCGAAAAGCAATGAAGCGTACACCTTAACATGCCGCTGTTAAATAGTGCTACGTTATCTTATCTTTGCCCGAATCACATACAATATGACTGTTTTTAGCATGACTGATTGCAAGTTAAGTACAAGTGTATAATAGAAATTATCATAATTCCTCCTCGTTAAACTGAAAAATAATTTTTCTGGTTAGAAGGCACGCGTAAGGTCACTTTTTCTTTATAATGTTTTGATTCGTGTTTTTAATGATGACGTAAAAATTATTCACTTATATTTTGTCCGAAATCGGCATTTACAGCTACAGAATCGATTCATGGCCGCGGTGATATTGAACCGTATTAAAGTACCATATAAAATCGAGAACGAAGCATCCAAGTTTTAACAAATATTTTTAATTCAACATCTGATCTGGGCCATATCACTTTGTTATTTTTAATAAAATGGGATTGATCTATCATTTCCTGTGTGAATAGAACAAACGCCTCGACTCGAAAGATGATATTTCTGAATTCCTCGCAATATGATTCTGGTTACAGTCACATAATACTAATTGATCCGTCATTCGCACCGTGAGATTTTTGTTAAAAAAAAAGAGTTTCAAAATATTTTAATAAAATGGCCTCCGAAAAAATAATATCCTACCCTTCACTCGAATCAAAATGATATGTACCGTTACATAATATTTATTAAAAATGCAACAACCGATAAAGATATATTTATTACGTCTGAACATTTCGAGTAGAATCGGACGATCGATCGATTTAAACCTTGACGTGCAGTAATTGAATCGATAAAACTTGTACAATTTTTCACAGTACAAGTAATGCAATAAAAATATCATTGACTTTGCTAAAAAAATATTTACGTCGGAATACAACTTTGTAGTATAAATTAAATGATATGAAGGAGTTGTAAAATTTAAAAATATCATCATATTATGACCCAGAGTGCCGAATTTGAGTTTGATTACAAAATTGCTGAACATTTTTTTTTTTTTTTTTTTTTTTTTTTTTTTTTTTTTTTTTTTNNNNAAAATTTTTTTCATTTAAGCAACATTTTTTGCCCGTGAAAAAAGCGAATTAAAACTATGTAGCTGTAAAATCGTATAAGGTCCACTCTATATGGAGGCTAATAGAGAAAAACTTATGAAACAAAAGTCGATAATCGTGTACGAAATCCCGATCATTTTTTAATTTCCTTATGATTCATTCTACTGCTGTAACTCGCGGAAAAAAGTATGCATTAAAAAAAAACCGCGTAAAAAATGTGGGCTTTTGATCTTATCATATGCTCAACTTTGGCTTGGACGAAGATGTATACTTGCGTGTCATCTAATCTTTATCAATATAACATGAGTCATTTTTTGCTGCAACTCCAAACACGTAAATGTAGATCTATAGTATGTAGACGACGCAGTGATGCTCGTAATTGAAAATTAGACCATTCTTTAATAATTTTTAATAATAAACGATTCATTTTTCGTGCATTAACAAATTTTCTCGCCAAAATTGTTGCACCAATGCAAAGAAATTTTGTAGAAAATTGAAATGTCGGTTTCTATTTGAGACAGTTCAGAAAAAATCTGTTATTTTTCATTTCAGATCTGATATTTTTACATGTTAAAATAAAAATAGCTTCGGCTAGTAGTAATAAACGTATTTCAATGAAACACATTATAATAAATTTGCATTGAATGGATGTTCACCTTATATCTTTAATATTTTATTTTTATGATTGTTAAAACGACGTTGGTTCAACTTATTTTTAGATTCTAACAATTGGACTTTGAAAAAATATCCCCAGAAAGGTATTAAGTACTTTGAAAACTATTTGATATAGTAACATTTAGACCAGCTTTTAAAGATTTTATAAAATGATTTTCACTGACAATTTACCAATATTTTAGACACAGAAGTAATTAATCTATTTTTAATATGACGAAATCGTTATTGATACAATGAAGTACTGGTAGTGAGATATTTTTTCCGGAGTACTATAATATTTTTGTACAGTCATATGCGTTACTGTAAAATAATGCGTTTAAAATTTACTGTAAGACTCACAATAGATTAAATGTGGAGATGGTATCAAGCGATCACAACACCCGATTATCATGACTTAGGGCTGAAGTTTTTTGTTTATCAATCTGTGTTTTTATATAATTGATATGTTAAATCCATGATGGAAATATTTTGCAATCGAAACAGCTTTAGTATTTGATACTTTTAACTACATTCCTATCGACCTACTGTTTTTTTAATAATTATAACGATTATTGTTTGGTTTAAATAATTTAATTTTAATTTGTTCATGAATGTTCGTATTTAAATGTAAAATGGATGTAGGTATTGCTTTTTCACAATAACATGGGTTATTCCCTCCATCTATCTTCATCCGAAACTTGAGAAGATATAATTTTACATACATCTTACAGTGGGTGCTCTTGTTTCAAATGATCATATCTCAAGGTTCTCAAGGCCAATTCTATCAATTCGGGATTTTTTTTTTTTTTTTTTTTTCTTTTTGTCAATTTTCATTCACATCGTGTTATATGAATAAAATGGATGTAATTTATCTCAATACAAATTGGAAAAGTTAACAATCAATGGTCCAAAGTTTGAGTGATTTTATGGTAAAAATTACAAAGATTTAGTGGTAGAATAAATATTTGGAACGAAAAATACATTAATTTTTTTCATCAACAAAATACATTTTGCGTTTAAGTTTATATTTATTGGCACATGATTTTCTATCTTTATCTGACGCATACAACTTATTTACCAGAATTAATTTTTTTAAAAAGCGCGCCAAAACGCCAGACCCCCCCACTCTTCTATTTTTAAAGCTGTCTGCTCTTTGAGGTATAGACAAATATATGATCAAAGCGAAAGTGCATCACACGGAGTGAACATTTGAGACGTCAATATAGGTATTTATACTTATTACGTGTAGATATAATTAATTATCGTTAATGTACATTTCCAGACGTTAAGTTACAGTTATGAAGGTGAAAGTGTTGTCGAGGAATCCAAGCGAGTATTTACGCGAGACTACGCGTGATATTCACAAAGGTGAGGAAAAATAACCTATACGATGCATCATTTACTTTTGCCAATGTTTAAGTGACGCACATTTTACGTAAACGTGTCCATAAAAGCGCAATAAAAACAACACGATCTAATGAATGGGTGGTTGCTTTCGTTTTAACAATGGTTTCGATGTTTCAGTCCCAAGGAACTACAATCCAGCTCTGCATCCGTTTGAGGCTCCTAGAGAGTACACTCGTGCTTTGAACGCAGTCAAACTCGACCGTACCTTTGCAAAGCCGTTCATCGGCAACCTCGAGGGCCACACAGATTCTGTTTCGTGTCTCTCCAAACACCCCTCAAAGTTAGGAACTCTGCTGAGTGGTGCCTTCGACGGTGTGGTCAAAGTGTGGAATCTAACCCAGAGAACATGTGTACGTACCATCTTGGCTCATAATGGCACTGTGGCTGGTATTGCGGTGACACCAGATGCCGAGCACTTTGTAACTGTTGGTATAGACCAAACGATCAAAACATGGAGTACCGAGAAGCCCGATGACGACTGCGAAGAAGAACCTACAAATACCATTATTCACGGGGTGTGTATATACTTTTTTTGTTAATGATTGCGTGTACTCAAAGTTAAAATACTTATTTTCATAATTTTGTGATTGTAGAGTGTTATAACTGGTATAAGTCATCATCGAGAGAATCCTCAGTTTGCCACTTGTGGACACGAGTGCAATGTATGGGAATATGAAAGAAATATACCAATAAAGACTTACAAGTGGGGTAATGATACATTAAATGATGTCAAATTTAATCAAGTACAAACGAATTTGCTTGGTTAGTATTATTTTATTATAATACTCTTCTGATGAATGCCAATTTATGACTTTTGTACATCCTTACCTTGAATTTGTTTTACAGCTACCTGTACTAGTGGTAATAAAGTGATTATTTATGACACGAGAAAAACTGGGCCAATGAGGAGCGTACAAATGAATCTAAGGCCCAACAAATTGTGTTGGAATCCAATGGAGGCATTCACTTTTACAATTGCTGGAGAAGATTACAAGTAATTTATCTTAACTTGTTGAAAAATATCATTGTTGGGATGTTACTAAGCAAGATCATTAAAAATTTTCTTACTTTCAGCTTGTATACATTTGACATACGACAGATGAAGTCACCAGTTAATGTTCATTTTGATCACACAGAAGCCGTTACAGATATAGATTACAGTCCTACTGGTAGAGAGTTTGTGTCGGGTAGCTATGACAGATCAATCAGAATTTTCGAGGTCAACAAAGGCCATTCCAGAGAAATTTATCATACAAAACGTATGCAGAGACTTACGTGCGTTGCGTGGACACTTGATAATAAATACATAATAAATGGTAGTGATGAAATGAACATCCGCATATGGAAAGCTAAGGCATCAGAAAAGTTGGGAGTGGTAAGTTTTTAATTTATTACGAGGATATAAACTTATTATATTTTCTACAAGTACTTTTTTTTTGTAGTTGAGACCTCGAGAGAAGGCATCGTTGAATTATAGCCAAACATTAAAAGAGAAATTTGCAAGTCATCCGCAAATACGACGAATTGCACGACACAGACAAGTCCCGAAGCACATTTACAAGGCACAAGATGAACTTCGAGCACAGCGGCAAAAAATCAAGCTCAAGTGCGTAACTCGTTATTTGTTTGTTTATTAATTTTTTGATTTATTTAAATAAGGCATAAATTTATGAAAATTCTATTGCAGAGAGTCCCGAAGACGCGCACACTCAAAGCCAGGAGCAGAGCCTTTTGTATCAGAAAGAAAAAGACATGTCACCAGAATGGAAGTTTAATTTACCATCAATTTTTTTTTACTTATACGTTACGTTCGCACTGCAGCCAATTTTTATATTCATTTCAATCACGTAATTACAGAATAAATGAAAAATTTTGTACATATAAATGGTGCTTGTTTTTTGAGGTATTAAATCAGGGAAAAAGGTAGAAATTATAACATTTTATATTTAATAAATAATTTTATTGTTGAAATTATACGACGCATCGATATAATAATTTTTGGAACGTTACAAATTTGAAGCAGGAATTTATACCTTTTGGTTTGACAGAGAATTTCAAAAGGTCACATTGGCCTGCTTTTGTCAAATGAAAGTAGTACAATAGAATAGCTGCTTTGTTTTTCCTTTTGAAAAGGGGTCTCTTTACCTTAGCGTTACTGAACACACTAGTATCATAGTTTGTTGTTTTTTAATATCTTAATTCGTAGACGCTATGAACAATAGTATTCACTGCTGTATCGTATAAAAGTGAAAAAGGCAGTGCTTAGTAACAAACTGAAAAATTTCCAAAAAATTTTTATTGACGACGTCTTTGAATGACACCTATGATTTAGTTTTAAACCAGACAAATTATTTTAATTGAACCCTCTTTGTTTATTCACGGAAGCATAATACATTTGTTAACAGGCTTTTCATGGTGTTACTTTTTGCTAAACTTTAGTGTCTACGTACCTAAGGGCTTCGAGACCCCGGGATATAACATATTTTTTGCTCGCTTCGTCAGGTTCAAGCCTATATCACGTATATTTCTATATATTTTTTCGACGGTTCTTTGCTTGCTTTCTTTGTTTCAAACAAATTAGAAACAAAAGTGTTTGAATTCAAAATGTTGAACAAACGTTTGAAAAAATTACCTATTCATAACATCAACAATAGACCAATAGAAAAAAGTGAAATTTGACAAAACCCAGTTTCACGTACTCATAACTCATTGCCAGTTAAGAAGAATAAATAAAAATTCGTTGAATCAAAACACTTTTCTTCAATTCATATATCCTAAGCGCACAACTTTTCTGTACAAGACTAGGTTACTCGAGCGATTAATCGTCAAGTTGCCAACCAGCTATATTTAAGATTCAGCTTTTTCTCCCTCTCGCTCTCAATTAAATAAAATCGACATCGCATAACAATAATCATCATCATCATAATAATTTATATACAATATCAACACATTATTCATCATTTCTTTATACCTATTATCAACTTATTGTTAACATTATTATTTGTTTTATACATCAACGCTTCATTCTTTTTTTTCTTTTTTTTCTTTTCATTTACTTATTTCTTCCTACGTGAAAATCGTCGTTGCACGTGACTGTATCGAGTCCCGCGTGTGTGTCCCGATGATTTCAGGAATCGGCAGTGATCTTAAAAATATAAAAAATCTGTATGCTCAACAGTCGAGTCGTCGAAACGAAACAAAATAGAAAACGCAAATCGGCCACTGTCGGCGACACTTTTGAAACTTCCCCGCATAGCATTTTCCTTTCCTTGTCGCAACGGGCAGAAAAAAAAAAAAAAAAAAAAAGATCGGTTCCGACTGCTTTTTTTTCCCACTCACGAGCAAAGAAAAAAAAAAAAAACGAATCAAGCTTGCCTTTCTCTTGGGCTCTATATGGTTTTCCGCGCTCCTTTTATTTCTTCTTTCATATACGCACAAACATTACAGGGGACGACAAAAGCGCGCAGTATCGCGATACAATGTCCATAGACGAATAACCGTTGGTTCCCGTGAACCTCGCAAATCCCCGTTTTCCAGAAAACAGGAGGAAAAAAAGTAAAGGACGGGCCCATCGGTCCTAGACGTTGAGGTCGGCCATCATCTTGCGAAAGTCGGCCAGGGTGTTGTAGTCGGGGTCCGAGTCTATGTCCGCAAAGTCCTTGCTCGAGTCCGCTTTCACGAAACTCGGGTTGTAACGGCTCAAGGACAACGGGCACGGCAGCAGCTCCGGCATCACCGAGTGGTGCGTTATCAGCGCCGACAGCGTCGTGAACTCCTTGGTGAAGCCCTGCCGATTTTGGAAACAATGCGTGAATAACATTTCGGGGAAACATACAATTCTAACCATCATTGCACCCAATAAACCCATTTAGTGCGCATCTGCCCCCCTCCACGTAATTAGCGCGGAAGTGAAACGTGTCGGTGCAGACGCGTTTCATTGCAGAAAAAAAAAAAAGGGTAAGCGGAAGTCGACGAGGGGAGAGGGTGGTTAATTTTTGTCACGGAATCTGGGGCGCAAGCTCGCAAGAGCCGCGCGGCGGCAAAGAAGATAAGCACTCCCCGGTAGGGGGCAAACGAGGGAATAAGAAGTCGAGACCACGTTAGAGAGAAAGAGGAGGAGCACGTGCTCCCGTTTCCCGAAATAGAAGCTTATCCTCCGGGAGGGCCGTTTTCACACGCGTCGCGTATACACACCCGTGGGCTGATGTGTGTGCACGAATGAAATTGCCCTTTAGGCGTGTATAGCCGGGTAAGTAGGTAGGTACATGCACTTCAGGGGGCTCGGCGCTCTTTGGATTCTCTCTCTCTCTCTCTGTAAAAGGTAACGAAGCGCGCAAGGAGGTCACGCCGACCGAGCAAAGCTAATTGAAATCTCGGGGGCTGCTTGCGCGATGCAGCGCATATTGGCAGGGGGCCGCGTTATTTGGAAATTACTTTTCTCGCTTGACACTTTTGCTGATGCCTGAGCTGATTTTTTTTTTTTTTTTAAGGGTTGCGTGGTTATTATTATCATTTGTTTGTTTTTTCATGCTATAATTGGAATAAACGAGAATACGTCCTTTTATGCTCGTACCGTCTGACCCAATCAAGGCTTTATCTACTTGCCAATTTGTAATCACATTGTACGTGACAACATTTCTTCCAGATTAAAATGCGGCTCTTCGGGGAGTAAGAGGCTTAACGTATACGTACGATTTCTGAATGGAAAAAAAAAAAAAAACATTTTTCATCAGAGACATCTCGGCACTCTCATTAAAAAAAAAAAAAAAAAAAAAAAAAAAGGTGCGAGAAAAACGAACTCGAAGGCGCAACCGGGCCACCGACTCTGGCGTGAAACACAGGGCCGACCTTAATCCGTGCCATAGGCATGGCCTCTTTGAAAAAAAGCAGCTTGCACCGAACAAAGATCCACGTGTATACGAAAAAATACGCCAAAGGGCAGCTGAAGAGATACGCACACGGAACTGTGTTATTAGGTTCGCGAGCCCCGAGGCTGTATACCGGTATGTGTATCAAACTTTGTTCCCGTGCACACATACATATATACACGCGTGGCTGATGCGAGAGCTTGCAAACTTTCCGTAGCGAAGAACCGAGCGGACGTAGGTAAACGGGGCTGGGCGCCGGGTGTAATCGAGGCTGTTCAACACTTTTTAATTGCTCAAGCTCGCGGCACCTGTCCTCCTCCACTACTCCCTTTTTTTCCCCCAACCAAAGCCGTACCCTGCACATACACGCGAGCGTCCAAGAAAGTGGGACGCACGTGGCTCCGAAACTTGCCGGCTTCTGTACATATTATATTTTTCGCCCAAAGTTGCATATACGAAACAACTTTCCGAGCGAATCGCGCGTTACACGTTCTCGCGGGGGAGGGGGGGGGTAGAGTTCGTTTAAAGTCGATTTTTCCCTCCAGCCTTTGGCGGGTAATTTGGCGAGCCGCGGCGTAACCGGCGCTTATAAGCAGACCTAACGAGCCCATAAAACGCAAAACAAGGCGAATCGAGGCGAAACCGCAAATTGCGTCTACCTCAAAAAGACTTAATTACCCCGTGGCTCCCCCCCCCCTCGGAGTGCCGATGCACCGTGGTGTGCTCGGTTCGAGGGTAATTAATTAATGAATTCTCCATAGCCTACCTTAATTTTGTATCCCTTGTTCGTGCGCATGATGAGATAATGGGCGATGCCGCTCGGCTGGAATTCGCGGGGCACGCGCAACGACAGCGCGTAGCAGCCGGGCTTGCTCGTGCTCTCCCGCACCATGAACGCGCCCTCCGGCTCGTGGCTCAGCACCTCCAGCGTTATTTCCCTGCAAAAACACACCGAGCATTTGTATACACATGTGTATATATATATATACCATCGTGCCTATACAGGCCAGTCCAGAATTTCATTTTCGCCGTTTCGCCGAATGGTGCCTGGACATGTATATATTATATACAAGCACCACGTATATAAAGTAGCCGCCGACGTGCTTGGATGCACGGAGGTGATGGTGTGGGTGTAACGAGCAGACGTGTACGCGGCTCTCTCTTTTGTTACACCCCTTTGCGTCTTTCATTTCCTCGCCCTTTCGTCGCTTTTTTTTTTTTTTTTTTTTTTATTCGTCGAAAGGGTGAGGTGATTCATGTAGAGCCCCGAAATTCATCACGAGAACGAAATACGAATAACTAGACGGTCGTTTAGAATTTTTGCTTGAAGCAAACAATTAGTGAATGTATATAAAACATCTGCATGCAGAGTTACTCGTTGGATATTCAAAGACAAGACTTTTGATCAAGATCTCGCGGCGCCTCCAAAATGAAAATGAGTTAAAATAAGGGTCCGGGCCAGTGCAACCATACAGTCATGTATATATGTATTTGGTGAAAAAACTTACCTTGGTATGCCAGCTTGGAACCAGGGCGCCCTCCTGAGCTCGCCCTCCTCGTTGCGCGTGCTCAGGCTGTCGTACCGTCTGGGGAGGGGGGGTGGCGTGGGCGCCGGGCGGTTGGTGCCGTCCGCGGGTGCCGATCCGCCGCTCGTCGACGTGGTGCCGCTCGGCTGCGGCCTCTGCTTCGACTTGAAATCCGTGTCCGTCGCGTTGGTGCTCGACGAGTTTTGCGTCAACCTGCGAACAAGCGACCTTTTTTTTTTCTCAATTCCTCCCTTTCTCCGGTCGACGGACCTGCCGTTGTTGCCACCATTGGACACGCGCCGGGTTGAAAATCCACTCTCTCAATTTGAAATAGTGATAAGCATACAACTTTTTCAAAATAGTGCATACACACCGTTAAATATACACTGTTTTAGCAGTGAAACAGGCGATTTCAATATTCCAAAGTTGTGCAATATTTCAATCAAGTTAACGTTCCACTATTTCAATGAGTTGGTAAACTTATTGTTGGTACCACTTGAAATAATATGTATGGATAGTACAATTCTCTCCATTTGGATGAAGATAGTTCATTGGATTACCGATGTATACATTAAGAATTGAAATTTATAACAATTAGGCGCGAATTTCAATTTTTCAAACTTAGGGGGTACAGCCGAATGAAATCCGGCTGTATATTAAATAAAAGAAACCCTAAAAAAAAAAAAAAAAAAAAAGTTATCACAACCAGCGATAAAGATATTGCCCAGGCGATTAGATTGTCGTGCGGGCGGATTATTTTGCGGCTTCCATACAGAGATCCGATAAATCGCCAGGCATGTATATGGTGTATACATACGAGCTACGCGCACCGCGAAAAGCTACTCGACGACTGCAAAATCTCCTCTCCTTTACCAGTACCGTTGCGTTACCGCAAAGCTACCACTTCTTCTCTTTTTTCTTGTTTTCCTTCGACTATGAGGCATACGTGCGCGTGTACAGAGAGAGAGAGAGAGAGAGAGAGAGAGAGAGAGAGATGTTTGCCTGCAAGTACCTCGCTACGGCAGATCATGTCGAGTTGCATCTAAATTTTTTTTTTTTTTTCAATACGCCCAGCTTTTTTTTTATCTCGTTCGATGGATAAGATGGCTGAACAATTTTTGTAATTCGCTTCACATAAAAAAAATTTTAAAAAAGAAACCACGAGATAAAGAACCGGTGCGTTTTGCCGATTCAGTGATCAACTGCAGGCTCGATTGTTTTATTTTTTTGTCATACTCATGATACAGACGTCGCCGAGGCGATTCGATGACTCGCGTACTTTTGAGTCTCGAAAGTTACAGTACATCCCGACGGGCGTGACGTAATAAGCGCGTGCATGGACAAGGTGATAACGCGCCAAGGAAATTCCAAGCGATTTCGGTGCAATCGTTATTTCAACTAATTTCGCGTCTTTTCAAAGCACAATTTATATAGATCTCGAGCCAGTTTATTTTTATACTTTTATTACTTGTGTTTTTATCCAAGTATACGCGTGACAATGGGATACTTTCATTTTTCAGATCGTACCATCACTCGTCAATGAAAATAATACAATTAATTAAAAACAAAGTGTCTCAGGATCCTTCGGAATTGAAATTGCGCAAAGATGTGTACGTATTGAAACGATGCTAATCAAAAGTCGATGGCATGATGATAAAAGAATGCAAAAAAGAATTTTTCAAAAGCTCGCTAATGGCTAATAAATGGCACTTCCCAAGAGGGAAAGGGTCGTTGGCCAAAAGCAAAAAAAATTGATGTTCAAAGCCGAATTCTCACCTCGCAACTGGGCTTGGGGTGTTCCTGGCCGCCGTAGGCCACGTAAGCCACGGCCCTGTCGGGTATGAACTTGGCAGGGATCAAGTCACCCTCGTGGTAACTGCGAGCGACGTAAATTTGGTAGCCATCGCAGTCGCATCCTCCGACCACGGCTTTGTGAGGTACTGGCTCGCCGGCGTTGACGTGGACCCAGTTGTAACCTGCGTGAAGGTTCGAGGGCTCGTTTATGTCATGCGGCGCAGGTGATGCATTCGATTCGCTCGACTCGGCGCAACCCATGCTTAATTTTTTTTTTTTTTTTTTTTTNCAACAATAAATTAAATACACAAATCTCGCTCTCTCTCTTTCTCTCTCAAAAAAAAAAAAAATAAAATAAACAGGAATACTATAGATACTCACAAATATCTCTCTTTCTCACGTGCACTCGCTGTAAGAGGAAGAAAGCTCTCCAAGTGAGTGGTACACTTGTTCTCCCTGCATTTACCAGGCGATAATTTTACCGTTAATGAGTAAATGAACATGAAAACGAAAAAAATAAAATAAACAGAGGAGCATTGGAATCTCTCCACCGCGAGGCACTCAATAACGCCGGTGCCATCCATTCCGATCGCCCAAAGATATCATTCCAGCGACCGGCATTCCGTCCCCAGCCCCTCCCCGTCTCGGATCAAGAACGAGACAAAAAAAAGAAAAAAAAAACAAACAAACTATGGAATATCGTGCAGTGGCAGCGTCCCACAATACCGATAAACGCACCTGTTGTTCTCGATATTGAAATTCTTGGGGCCGGTGGTCGAGTCGAGGCCGTCGTCGAGTTTGTCCGTGGCGGGCAGTAGTTTGCCGTAGTGCCTCGGGGTGGTCGTCGAGCCGCCGTTGCTGCAGTTGTCCGACTCAATGATGGCCTCGTTTATGTAGCCACCCGAGTGCGGCCTCGTGGTCGTCGGCGAGGTCGGCGTGCTGCCACCGCTCACCAGCGGGCAATTGTCGTCCTCGTTGCTCAGGCCCAACGTGTCCCGGCCGCCTGAAATTTTACAAAGTTTTTCTTTTTTTCTTTTCCCACAACTCCTCGAGTGCTCTCCACTTTGCAGTTTGTTGTGTATGCAGAAACACACGTACCGCATGCACTCGAGTGAGAGATCTCGAGTGCAGTTAACAGCAGTTGCAGATAACGAAGCTTTCGACCAAGATAAAGCGAAACAAAATGAAAAAAAAAAAAAAGAAGCGAATCCTTCCCTAGCGATTTGTGCGTATTCAAGCCGACGAAAATAGCACTGTGCCACAGACTATAGGGTACCGAGCGAGAGCCGAGAGAGGACTATCCTGCAGAGCAGTCACTCGTACAGTGAAGAAGGGGAGGGCGGACACGGCAGTTTATATATGTACATGGCGGTGCTAACCGGTGAGTCCCATCGCGAGTCGCTTGATGAGGGGCGGCTTGTCCACGAGCCGCTTGTACGTGTTGAGTTCGGTCGGCGAGTTGCTCTCGTCGCTGCTGGGCGTGCTCTGCTGGGACAGGCTCTTTTGGGTCCCGCAGTCGTCGTCGTCGTCGTCGTGGTGATGGTTGTGGTGGTGGTGGTGGTGGTCTAGCGAGCCCAGCACGCTGCCAAAGTTGTGCGACGACCTCAGCCCCGGGATCGAGTTCGGCGTCTGGAAATCGTCGTAATTAGCCTCCAATTTTCCTATTCATTTATGTTTTTCATGCACGGGTCATTTCGCAAAAAGTGCGATGTTTTCACGACCTAATTGATTATTCGAATTTTTTCAATACTTTTTCCAAGCTACGTGAGGTCAAAACCAGTTGGAAACTCTACGGTCATTTTTCGGAAACCTATGTTAATTTGAATGAAATTTTTTTTAATTTTAAAAGAGCGTTACGGTAATGACACACCTGTGGGAATCAATTTCCAGTGTCTAAAAATCAATCGCTTGGTCAAAGTGGCAAAAGTAGGCTTAACGAATGAAAAAATGAAAAAATCAACGTCTATAGGCACCGGAAGACGCAAAGAATGAAATTTTGGCCTGTTTTCTCGATCTTACGGCCAAGCAAAAAACTTTTTCGACTCGAAATAATCAAATCCATCGTTTCGAAACACAGGCTTCATGGGGTTCCCGTGAAAATGTGCGCGCAAAAAATTTGACATATCAACTATTGGTGTACGCGAATTCAATAGAGCCACGCAGTGACAACTATTGTAAATATGTGCATCAGAGAGAAGGGGGGGGGGGTCTGGGGGCCGTTGACCAACGCGCGTGGCGAGCGAACAAAAGCGAGCGTATCCGGAATTTCTGTTTATCATTTCCTTTAGGCAAACGTATAGGTATGTGTGGGTTTATCTGCACTCGACCCACTGGATTCGGAGGCGCAGAGGATGAAACAATGAAACATCCAATTACCTTGACGCTGGAGAGCCGAAGGGTCGGCGAATTGGCGCTACCTAGCTGTATGTTCATGTCGGCAGTAGGACTGGCGGAGCTGGCGCCGTCGTCGCTGCTGCTGATGCTTCTGCCGCTGCTGTCGGTGCTGCTCGGGGAGGCCTGCACCTGCTGCTGGTGGCCCGGCTCCCAGAGACCCGGCGATAGGCTCCTGCAGCCGCCGTCACCGCCACCACCGGCGACGACGACGTTGCTGCCTTTGCTACCGCTGCTGGTACAATTGACCGTCGAGTCGCCGTCGACCAGAGTTTTGCTCTGAAATGACAGATTTGGGACGTTTGAGCCAATTTCTACTAGTGTATCTTTTTTTTTTCACCACTTCAGTCCTTACATTTTGCGCATTCTCCTCCCACCACTGTTATTATGCCACATCGCATGTGCTAACGCCTTTTTTGATCGCTTACAAGATGTATGTATTTCATTTGTGTCCAGTACTATAAGTATGTTTAANTTATTTTTTTTTTTTTATTTATTCATGACAGCTTTGTCGAGATGTCAGAAAATTTTCTTCTTGCACATATCATATTAAATCGAGAAAAACCGATACTTTGGCTAATTAAAGCCAAACAATCGAGAAATAATAAAAAAAGTAAATTAAAATACATGAGTTGTTGTCATACTCTGGTGAACATGTAATCGTGTAATTTGTTTTACTCCTTAAATAATCCAGTCATACATTTTTTTCTTTCGATCTACCCATACTTTTTGTCTTATTACACAGAAATGTATATAATGCAAGCAAATTTTCAAAGTTTCCATGGACAAAAAGAAAAAGAAACAAACATTTTTCTTGCAACGGAAAGAACAAAAAAACTCAAGCTCTTCGACACTGAGCGAGATAATAATGGTATGCACCTGGAAATTATCTTTCTGCATAAAAACCTTTGCCCGAGTTTGTTTAAAAAATACCTTTCCTTAAGGGGGAAGGGGGAAGAGGCCTGGATGGAGTAAAATAATTGTACACGATGTGAACGTGTCCGAGTAAACAATGAGCGGAGTCATGTTAAAAAAAAAAAAAAACAAAAAAAAAACAGAGAATAAGAAAACAGTACACACGCACACACCCACTTCCTATACACGAGTACGAAGAGTAAATTTTTCAGCTACGAGGGAATCTTGTGGCAGAAAAATTGCACACCTGCGTGAATTACGCTCGTATTAATAAACGTGTACGTATATTTATAAGCAAACAATCGTCACCTTCCTCGCGCAAAGGGGTTAACGCGAGTGCACAGGTATAACACATTCGGTAATGAGTGTGTACGTGTACATATGTGTACCTATGACGATGCTAAGTACATGTTGACTTTCCGTGGGTGCGCGGCAAAAGACGAGAAGGAGAAGGTAAGTATACAGGAGCGGCGAACACTCGAGGAGGAGGGAAAGACGATGAGCAGGCGAGGAAATGCACGCGGTGTACGTAATAATGGAGGGTGACGGACAATGGACGTTGTACTTTTGGGTCGCCGATGAACTCTGCTTCTGCGGAGCTCGTTTTTTTCTCACTTACCCATGCATTTTTATACGGACAAGAGTTCAATGGGCCTCTGTGGAAGCTCGGCCTTTTTTATTCGTGGGACGCTCCGTGCGTGCTTTATTTCATTCTCGGTAGAGGCAACAGCGAGAAAAATATACAATAATTACAGACACACCGTGGCACGACTCGAAGGAAAAGAAGAACAAAAAAATCAGAGCAGAGCAGTTACGCGCACTTTGCGAGCACACGCCGATCTCACGGAGAGCGATCGTTAACAATAAGTTACTTCGATCGGCGGGCTTTTTTTCGCCGAAATGCGTCTCCCACGCGTTGCGTGTAACTCTTACGCGTGCAATTCACGAGAATAAAGAGCCAATCTTTCACTGGTGCGATTAAAATGCAAATTCCTTTTACATATACATCCGTGCGCGCGTAGGTGATGGCATTTCTTCCCCGGCGTTTCTTTGCCAACTTCGTTGCCTCGGCGTCAATTGAAAAGCTCTCGAGCGCGTATAGGTATTTATGCACCTTCATTTGCACGTCACACGCAGGACACGCACGAATGTGTGTTTTTTAACGCGCATAGAGACCGTATTTCTTTTCGATTTTTTTTTTTTGTTCCCCAATCTCCCGAAAGCGCGCGAGGGACTGAATCTATAATTAGTCGGTCGCGCCGAGAAGTTCTTTAGCGGCTGCACTCGCTGAATACGAAAACAGGGAAGGGGAGGGACACGCCTTATGCAACGCGCGTAGCCGCGTCCAAGTTTTATGAAGGGCATTATTCGCCGATGCTTTCGGCGAATTTACGCGCGTGACTTTCCCGGGGAGCTTTCGATGAAGCATACAACTGTAGCTTGTGTGCGGGAAAAATTCTTTTGAGAAAAGTCAAAAGAGCCGCGTACGAGTAAACTGTACTGCCAAGCTTGTACTCGCGTCTTTTCTTCGTAGAGTGCATGGGTTGATCGATTCCTTCAAGTGCGCAGAGTAAACGCATGAATTTGTCGGGTTGAGTAGTGAAAGGCCAATGGTTATCCATATAAGTGACCTATGAGTATGGTCTATAATATATGCCTATATAACACAGACAAGGATCACTTGAAAGGCATGCGAGAACCTGTAGTGAAGGAAGGAGCCCAAAAGTATGCAATCACTGGACAAACGTGAAGAAAAAAAATGAAACAGAGAAAGGAAGGATTGTATTGTAAGGTATATCACTCACCCACGCGGCGGCGGTCCGGTTCTCCTGTTGCTTCTCCTTCCGAAAGTGCGACGAGCCGGTCTTGGAGTTAATCACATCCTGGAGCTGAATCGGCTGGCGCTGCAGCTGCGCCACGTACGCCATGCGGAAGGCATTGCCGACTATTTTGTTCAGCTCCTCGGCCTGCAATCGGAAACATCGTTGTTATAATTGGTTAATGTCTTTTTTTTGCATCATTTTGAGGAAAAAAAAAAGTTTTTCTATCTCGAGTTTAAGCATATTGCTTGGGATTTAGCAAAGAATCAGTGTTTCCCATTGAAATAATAAAACTGGGTGTATGAAACGAACAAAAGCCATAGTACACACGTGCCCGAATCGAAAAGTTTCGGGTGACGGGCAACTTTTAATAGGTGTTTTAATTAAACGACGACTGAGCCGCGGCGAAGGGGGAAGGGGTCACAGACACATGGAGAAAAAGTTAATTATGTCGGAGGTATAGCTAAATTACTTTCGAAATCTCCGCGACAGAGCGCAACTTTCCGACCCGGAAAGGAGTGCCGGGATTCCAGGTGATTCTCGCAATTGTTTCATCCTAAAACCTCCGTCTCGTGGAATTTAGAATAGTTTTGTACATATTTTTTCTATCGTATATATATATACGCTCACGTTGTTATGTACTCTTATCAAAGGGTCCAGAGATAACGAAAGTACGTATGTACATTGGCGCACCATGACTCCTCGATACAAGAGAAAACAATGTGCAATTCGGGTGTATATATACACTAAAAAAAAAAAAAAAAAAATCTTAAGAAAAAGCATAATATACGTATACAAGCGACGCCGGCAATCCTTTCTAATGAAAAGCCATAAACTTATCGGGTAAGGGGGAAGCTCTTTTCTATGGCCCACGCGCACATAACGTATATACAATGTCGTATATATACTCACTCGTGCAAGTGTATACCAGAGTAGCCGTATTCTAGATAAACTTTCGTCCAAACAGGTCGTTCACGGGAATCTGATCAATTAATTAAGCTAAGAGGCCCGAGAAGGAGGAGGAGGGGGGGGTACAGTCGTCGCGCAGCCGAACGTACCCGAGATCAAAGGAACGGAGCTTGCGTTACGTGGTGGTACAGATGCGGCCATCGGTTCCACGCGACTTGGCACACGGCGACTCATCGGTACACTTTTGGAGCTACGTAGTAGGTACTTTAATTAATTGAATCTGAACTCGGAGTACCATTTTTTTTTTTTTTTTTTTTTTTGGAAAATTCTGTCGGGATAGGCCAGTCTCTTACTTATATTACTTTTGCCTGCATTTCGCTCGGCTGTACAATACTTGCAACGTATTTGACGTAACCCTTTTATCTTACACCTCCTGCCAACTGACCCCAACAAAAATCGGCGACTGTTAATCCATATTTTCCCAAAATCAGGGACCATCAACATCCCATCTGATTGGTGCGGAGTCCTTTTCGTTTGGATCGAGAAAATGTGTTTGGTTTGCCGATTGAACGCAGCGTCTCTCTCTTTTTTAATTGTCTTCTTCCATGAATGTATCAGTAGGTAGGTATACCTTCCTGAGAGCACGAAAATAACGGCTCGCGAAAATATAAACGAGAAACTGCTAGTCTATATCTGGTGAAAGTAATATCGATTTTTCTCGTTACGGCGTCGAAAGAGTTATTTCGATCCAAACTCGATCAAGTTGCATTATTTCAGAGCGCACTAAATATAGAGCACAGGTATGTAAATGTATAAACTTCAACTGTATTTATAAACGAGCAGCAAATAAAACAAATTACCCGTGCGGTGATAAGGATAACTATTCAACTGAAATCTCATGTAAAGCAACAGGATGTTTTGTGGATCAGTAGAAACAGTCGAGTATGTCAGACGCGTTGATTGTATCTAAAGCTATATTCGATCTTTAAAAAAAATAGTTGAAAAATTTGCATGTGCTCTTCTCGTTCACTTTTCTTGGGAAGCTCAAGCTGACACATCTGTCTTTTGTAACCCGCAAAAAAGTTCGACTACTGTAACCTTTACATTTGTCGATTTTCTGGTTGCCCACGGCGCCTCAGAAACGTCTATCTCTAGATTCAACATTTTCGTGACGACGAAAACGCGGATCTGCCTGGCCAGCAACGGCTCGCCTTGATGGACCTTACCCCTTGAGAAAGAGTTTGATCTACTGCCCATCCGAAAGGTATTTTTATCAACTTACGCATCATTTTAAACTTTTTCTTGCATCACATACATTTAGAGATTGTCTTTATTATTACTTATAATCAGAATGTCATTCCTTTTACTCAAATAAACCAGGTTTTTTGCCGAAAGGTTTTTTCCTGTCCATGCTGTTTTTTTTTTTTAACTTCAATCACGTAAGTGACAATTAAGACAGCGAAGCCTGACCTCTGGGGTCTTACTCGCCTTGCGACACAAACCCACACAATCATGTAATATGATTATTCTCCAATGCCTTACTTTTTTTTTAAACACTTCAAAATTAAAAATCGTCGCGTACGCAACAATGAGCCCCTCGTACGTTACGTGCATGTGCCTATATGTACAAAGTCACTCAAAACTCTCGTCGGACACAATGAACTCCCGCCAACTCAAGTGTGAGCTCATCAACGCCAGGCGACGTAATAATATGCCTTTGACAAACGAGTTTATACGCGCGCAATTCGTGTATTACGTTGTACCGTATACGCAATACATATATGTGTATGGTGTATACCCTTTATGCGATAATTCCACTCGATTACAATGAACGGGAAAGTGTCGGATACGCATATATACGTACGTATACACACCGATGAAAATTTCCTGTGACACCGACGTCGCGTATACACGTCGAACAGTTGCCCCGAGAAAATAATTGAACTAGGCAGCATACCCGTACCTCTATGTATACATATGTATGTATGTTCTCATGTTTGCGCGTCACGGTCACGCGAAAGCGCACCAGAACGACCAGGTAGTGCTCGCGTTTCGGATATCCGGCCTCGGCTCTGCTTGTCGTTGCTGGTTACTATACGTGCACTTGCATAGGCCTGTCGACCGCAAACGAGTGCCTATAGACATGTACGCGAGGTATCGCGTTTACATGTAACGTACTCGAGCAGCTGCTGTACACGATTCATCTTCTTCCTACTCTCTTGACTGGCACTTGTATATATATATATTCGTTCTTTGTTGTTCGGGTTTCCGTTTGACGTCTCGTTCCGTTGCCGAAAATCTATGTCCACCCTCGAGGATGACACTCGTAAGGGTACTTTTTTTTTACACAATATAGTGTACGCATATATGCTGGATGCACGAGGATGGAGGGGAGGGCTGGTGCCACTAGTCACTTTAACATTATGGCTAATGGACTTTTAAGGGAAACTTTGTCAATGACGGCCACTTGAACTATTTTCTTCCATAAGATTTAACATGTAGGGCAAAGTGTGGGCAGCACTGGTCATATACCTGGCCTATATATGTGTGTGGAACAAATGATAATGGGTCGATGAACAAGGTGAAACAAGTATAATGAAAAATCACTTGAAAATCTCAGAACACGACAGTACTTTCGGAGTAGCAACTGTATTGGGATGAAAAGGTTTCAAGAGGGGGGTAAAAATTGTCGCATCGTCCATGTAGTTACGAAGGAAAGTAGAAAGCCCTTCGAGCGCCTGTATACCCACATACACAATATATAGACTATTTACTCGGTACATCCGTACACCAACGTACAAGCACAATATATACTTGAACTAATTTTGCTGCGCTGCTGGTTTGGGCCTTTCAAACTTAATTTTGGAGTCACATGTCCATGGTTCTTCGAGCGAGAGGCACGTGCCTCGGCACCAACGCGGAGAGAGAAAGAAAGAGAGCTTGCGCACAAGTCACCTCCCCCCACTGCGACAAACAAACGCGAGAACAGTCGCTATAAGCATGTCTCATGGAGCTTCGGACGACGCTCTCTGCTTTTAGCTGGCACTCCACCGAACACCCAAGGAAATTAAGCGTGTGTATACGTATACTTTCCTATGTATATGCTCACACGTTAGGCAAGTAGGTGTATATAAATATACCCGCGAAGGAACAATTTTCCGTGTCAAGAGTGCACCGCACAACATAGGGGAAATCGAGTTTTCGTACATACACAATTCAACTTGTACATGCAGAAATATATTCGTGATTTACACATCCGCGACACGTGCGCCGAGACAACGAGCAAACGCGCGCATGTACACACCCGCGAAATCCCATCTCGATCTGGAAATTTGTCGCGTCGTGTGGAATATAATATATATACGTTAGCTCATCGAAATTCCTCGGGCGAGTTTCGCGCGGCCAAAACAATGAGAACCGAGCGATGCCGCGGGGGGAATAAGAAAGAGCACACCGGCTGCGTATGTATACAGCCCGGGTGAGGATGAGCGCGCGTGTTTGGTATGAAAATATGTACAAAAGCTCGACGATCGCGGGAACCGAGAGGAGGAGTCGTTTTTTCCCCGCTGGCGCAAATCGTCCCTTATTCTCTCGCCGGGAGGGCTTGGGGTTTTGTTTTTACGAGCTTTTCGCGGGTTACTCCACGTGATGATGCCGGGGCAGACAGTTTCTCCGTCGCGTGGATTTGGTGTTTCTCTTTTTTTGTTTTACCCTATGCCTTTCCCCCCCCCTTTTCGGTTGATGGAACTTGAACGGGAAGCTCCTGTGAAGAAGGGGCCATTTCAGGATAGATGGAGACTCCTTATACATCAAAATGTGCGATTTTTGGTTATTCCTCCACCAAAGGGATGGAGAGAGATGGTTTGAAAAAACTCACACAATAGATCCGTATAGGCAAAGAGCGAGCCCAAAGTGACAAAGCCCACCGTGCAAAAGTCGCGCCCGTTTCCTCCCCCGCGTGATATAAAATATACATCCTTTGCCGTATACTTTCACGCGTGGCGAGCGCACTCTTCCCGGCTTAACAATGGCAAAAGAGAGACGTCGTCGACGCCGAGAAAGAGGAGCAGTCAGTACAGAATTCGAAAGACGTCCTCCTCCTTGCATCATCCACGCCGTTTCCGTCCCTTTCACCACTCCTCTCTCTGTATGTATATTATATTTTATATGTATACCTGCATGTCTCGTTCGCCAAAAATACACCTTTCCTCGCTCGCGCTCTGTACACTCCAGGGTTC